AAAAAAAAAAAAAAAAAAAAAAAAGGAAAAAACAACCCACTGACAGAGTCATATTACAGTCTACATAATACAGACACTCTGATAGTCAGGGTGTTGATAGCAGTCCAATTAAATGGTCACTGCAGTCCTCCTGGAGTGACAGATGTGGTTCTGTTGAAGCAATGATCCCATAGAAGGATGTAGTTTTTTTCTGAAGATCTAGTGGTAGTGTAGATGGGTCTGGTCTTACTCTGGAAATTTAATGGAGAAAGTCTGCCTGCGGTGTTCCAAGCCTCAGATGATATCCAGGTAAGAATGCTTGTCTCCTCCCCCTTTGTGGAGCATCTCACAATGCGATGATGTAATTTTATTTTAATTTTCATAGTAAAGAAATCTTATTCCTATTCCCTTATATTTGACTGAGTGCCCCTTAATTTCAAGATTGTAATAATTCAGGGGGCCGGGGGGGAGGGTTACATTTTTCTATTTCAAGGGAGGTTCCTGCCTTCCTTAGCAGACACCTGTTTTTTTTAAACTAAGACATCTACCAACAGAAACAGAGAAAAAACCCTAAATTACTGTCCTCCTGGTCATCTAGCATGCAGTACAGACTGATTAAAGACTGTGCCAGATGATGCCTGTCCTAATTTGAAGTGCCAAGAATAAGATGCTGTGGTATGACAGACAGATGGGAAGAGTCCACTCAGGTGTGAGAGCTGCAAGCTCAGCATCTGCAATTCTCCTGATCTGACAGGGCAGGTCTTCCAGATGCTCAAAAATGTAGGAAGCATGTCTGCTTAAGGCATCACTCACGTGGAGTGATGACTTGTGGTTTCAAAGTGATTTCAGCAGTGTGTGAACAGCCTCCTTCCCTGAGGACATGCACTGAGGTAAATCCAGTGCTCTGGAGACTCTGCCTGGATAGGTACCAGGACTCCAGAGGAAGGCAACCATTGAAATCCTGCTTGACCACTCCATTTCAGAGCTAGTAAAGAACTGTACTGATAGCAGGCTGTGTTTAATTATTGCCCTAATCACATACTGTTGATTTTTTTTACTGGAAAAAAAATCTGGCACCCCAGTCAAAGATGAGGTTAGAGAGAAATATACTGATCTTATAGAAAATGTCCAAAATTAAGTATTTTTAAACCAAGCACAGCACCTTGGATCAATCATAGGAACTGCATTTATTAAATCCCCCAAAAGAAATGGACTTAAACATAGACATATCTTAATCTCCTTCATCAAAGCATAGCAGCAATCAGGGAAAAAACCTGAACAACAACCAAACAACAGAAAACCCCACAAATCCCATCAAAAAACCCCAACCAAAACAATAAATTAAAACAATCCAAAAGAAAGGAATAACAATGTCCCACTCAACAAATGTGATCCCAGTACGTTCTAGAGTTTTTAAATTACATTACGTTACGTTACGTTACGTCATGTCATGTCATATCATATCAATTATATTATTCCAATATATATTCTGTATATTTACCCATTATTTAAATCCAGAGTATTTTTATGGAACCAAGATTTAGTGAAAATGAATGGCACAATCCATGAGCTTGCATAGTAATATGAGGATGTTGTGCTGATTTGCTTAGAAGGAGTCATGGAAAAAATCCCTACGCACATCAAATCTGACTAATGCCCAGTAACATTTATTCAGCACTGTTTTTCTATAGGAACAAACTTTGACAAACCCTATAGAAGGGATTGCACAGCCTCTAAAATGTTGACATGCTGAAAATATTCCTAGGTACGCAAACCATTCAGTCAAAAAATAGTATTTTCCCTTTTCTTATGACATTTAATATAATGGCATCCTGATACTGTCATTGGGGTAAAAATAGACTCCATTAATTTATTCCTTTAAAAGATGTTGACAAGCCTAAAATGTTTGAGAAAAGATATTCTGTACGATTTTCTGAAGGAAGCATCTGCATGGATTGCAGAGGTTTGGCAGCTCTTGAGGCACTGTAATATGTTAATAAGAAATTATTTGTTGATTTTGGTTTTTGTTTTTTTTTTTCTTCTTTTTTAATTCTGCCCTGCCTGTCTGCTAGGAAAGCAGGAAGATCCCTCCCAGCTGAAAAAACCAGATAATTCCAGCTCTTCAGGGTGAGCAAGCAGCTGTGATATAGAAGAGCTGTTTGCTGCTTGTGCTATTTCATGTGTGACTCCATGAAACACTTCAGGGGCACACATTCCATGATATTTTTGGGGGAAAAGTCCTGGTTAACAGTGTAAAATTGAAGAAAAATACCTTAACTCTGGCATGACAGCTAGGCAGCTGAGGGTGCTGGTGGGGCATGAGGATTCCTGTGGACAGAGCATCCACTCCATTGAACTTGCTGGTACCATGATCTGGAACAGCACAAAGTCATGACAAAAGTTTCATCAATGGAGCTTTTTCCTAATAGGAAAGCAGAAAAGTCTGACTAACAGTACAGTTGAAAGTGTTTTAGGGATGATTATAACTATCCCTCATTTATAAAAAGGCTGTTCAGTTATTACTAAGATTCAATTTACACAAGAGATACCCTTATTTCCTGGCTCTTTGCAGTACAATTTATCTCCAAAGCAGGCAAAAATTTGTAATGAATTCTGAAGGGTTCTGCTCACCATGTTATTTTGTCAGCCATTTTTCTGTTCAATAAAATAAAGGAAAAGGAAGATTTTCACACACTTTAGGCAGTGGGTCTAGAAATGAGGAAGAAAAGACTGAAGAGAGTAAAACCATATATGGGCTCAGAGTTCTCTAGTATAAATTTTGGAAGAAGTTCCAGTGTGTAGTATAAACATTTGCACTAAGCAGTTTTTGAACATAAACCAGTATAATTTTTTTATTAAGTAATGAAAGCAGTGTGTGTTGATGCTTGTAGCAGGTGAATGTTTTAATTACTCCAGTATTAAAAAAAAAAAAAAAAAAAAAGGCAAAAGATGTGTCTGCTTTTATGGTTTCTGTGGTTCTTCCACTGACTGTAAATTTCTCCGGGAACAATGGACAGAGACCATAAGAAAATGCTGCTCACACTTATTCTCTCTTTTGGGGCATCCAAAGTATTGACACAATGCCACAGACCATCAGCAGAAGGCAGTTCCACCATTCTTCTCTGGCTAAATCCAAATACATCCTCATTTCAGACACCTCTGGGCTCTCTGTTTTTTGCTTCCTGGAGAAAGAACAGCTGGCTTAGACTCTCTGAAGAGAAACACAAGATGAGAACAAGAGGAAAGCTGATTCCAGGAGCTCCCTTCCACAGAGATGCGCCCTCTCTCCATGATCAGGGTGCTGTGGCACTTTGGTCCAGGCCCATTGTTTTTTGCGGCATGTATGAAAACTTTCTTTTACCTTGCACACATTAGAAATGTATTCCTTTTGTCCTGGTGGAACAAATGACACTCCCACTGATGTCTTGTCATCTGTGGCTTTTTACATCCATGCCGTAAACTGAAAAGACATTTAAACAATTGAAAAATAATCACTGTTATTGTAGTGGTTTCACACTGATTGACATTTGGGGAAGAAGTAAGAAACCATGGAAGTGATTTCTCTGAGAAAAGCTGCTGAGAGCTTTCTCTGTGCCTGAGACAGGCCAACAGCTGGCTAGTTCTGAGAACTGACAGCATTTTGCACCATTTAGAAATTAGATCCACCTCTGTGAATTCCACATCTTAAAAACCACAAACCCGGGAACTCTCTCTTTCTTCCAAGCTTTGAAAGGTACCAGAGCTCTGGTGAGGCCGGCCCTGCTCACCCACAGCCTGTGTGGCCTGGGGGACGCCGGGCTGGACCCCAACAGCTCCCAGGCAGGGGACGGAGGCTGTGGGGCCCCGGCCCCAGGCTGGGCCTGGCCAAGCTGCTGGCATCTTGCCGACACTAAACCCTCTCCCTGGCACAAACCAATGGCTCCAGGCTGAGCCTCCCCTCCCAGCGACTGCCGGGCAGAGAGAGGGGCCCAATGTAGCCTGAAATCCATCATCATAATTGCTGCGGCCACTGCCCACGACCATCTGCAGGCCTGGCAAGATTTAACCCTTTCATTTAACCCTATCACTGCACAGATGAAATGTGCAGACCACAATTCTCCCCTCAAGAGAAAAGGACAAAGTGGGGACACATAGAAGACAACGTGAAGACACTGAGATCAGTAAAGAAAGAGTCCTAGATGGAAGGTGAATGAGGAGATGCCTTAGTGTTGGGCTGAAAAATTCCTTTGATAAGGCCATGGTGATGGACAATGATACACTGAAATATCTCCTTTAATTCATGAGAGAGTATGGGGGTGTTAGCGTTCAGTAACACACATAATCACAAATGATTATATGAAGGTGCTTTATTGAAGAGCTCTGGGTGTCAGGGGCACACATACCCAAATCTGACCCAATTTGGTTTTGAGTTGAACATGTTTTATACTCTATCGTTATACAACTTACAGATTAATTATTAAACTTATATTGTTCTATTGTATGCATTGTTTTTACCCAAGCATATATTTCTCATGATCCCCCCTCACCCCCCCTTCATGTTCTCTAAACAATAGTTATATCTAATCACATCTAACAATTGTATCATTTATCATATACTGACTACACAGGTGCAGCTTGACCTGATCTTTAGCAAGCACAAGGCCTAACATTTCCCGGGCCTACTTTTCCCAGGGCTTGGCAAACCTAACTTTCTTTCTAAGTCTCCGAATGTTCTAAGATTTTAGAACCTTTTACTATCAGGGGAATGAAGTATTCAAATTGTAGATGTGAGCAGAGGCATCTTTTGATAAAGCCAAGGACGTGTTGATGTAGCTGTGATCCCATGAGAAGCTTGAGGAGAGAAAAAGAGAGATGATAGTGATGAAGACCCTTTGCCCCAGGGAGAGAAGAAGAAAACCTCTTGATAACAAAGACAGATGAAGAGAACCTTTGCCTTTGAACAACTCATTCTTAAAAAAATACCCCATGAGCTCGTGGCCCACGGACACACCTTTAGAAGGGCTGGAAATGGGAAGCCCATTCTGCCCACGATGCAGAATTTTTGCCCAGGCAGCTGCTATTTGTGGAAATGAAAAGCCACGAGAAAACTGTTTCCAGTGGAGAAGACTCCATTGCATGACAAGAGAAAACTCCTCTCCCTACAAGAACTGTTGAAAGACTATTGTATAGCTGGTACTCATTTAACATCCCAAGTTTTGTCTCTATGCTGTCAGTTGGGAAAGGAAAAGAAGTTGGGCAGTGGGAGGAAAGGTGTTCTGGAAGTTTTATTCTGATACTTCTTATTCTTGTAGTCCTGCTAATACAGTTTTTTTATACCTTTTAAGTTTTAAGCCTGTTTTGCCTTTCTCCTAATCCATATCTCCCAGCAAGAAATAAGTAAGTGCTTATGGTGATTTTAGCCAGTGCTAAACCCACCACACTATTTGGTGTATTGACCAGGAAACTGAAATTGGCAAATCTAAGCCACTATTGTTATGTAGCCAACAAGTCATCTACCCCCACAGCCATGCATGGCCTGACAGAACTCAGCTAAACTGTGCATGTTCAGTGGCTTTTCCTTTAAATCCTGAGACACTGGTGTGGGATACTCCCAGCTCGTGGATTATCTGCTCAGTGTTGAATGTCTGTAGCTCAGAGAGGATGTGATCAGGTCCACTGACAGTCACATCAGTGATTTGGTAGTAAGGACTTCACTTATTTCCAATTGGTCAAATGCAGTCAAGACAACTATGCTTTAAAAGGTTCAAAAGAGCCAGTGTTACCAAATAACCTAGGAGGAATATCAGACTGAAGGATATCCTTTCTGCTGAAAGGGAACTAAGTCAACGTGCTGTTGTAATATCCAGGGGTTTAGAGCTGTACACATGCTTCATATTTCAAATTTCTTCTGAAATAATTCAAATAAACTGAGGAAAAGAGAACCGATCTTAGAAACAGAGATATAAATTACTGACCCTGCAAATAGTACAGAAGAAAGACCATTCTGATTTTCAGCTAGTTCCCAAATATGATGCAGGAATGCCAGGAAAATTAGACACAATCTGGGACACAAACCCTAGGAGGCTGTGGGGAATCAGTCCATTGATAAAAAGGAAGTAATAATGATGGGTTGAATATATATGTGAATAAAAAACAGCTAAAAGTCAATATGATCTTCGATGCCAAGAAAACTGAAAGCCTCCAGATTGGTGAACATCTGAAAGAGGAGAAAAAAGCCAAATCTGCTGAGGATGGACTTAAGTATTTGTTGTCCTCAGCACTGTTAAAAGATTTGTTCACATTAATTATGTGTAGGAAAGGACTGACAGAGGACAATTATCTTGAGAGTTGTTAATTTTTATCTGAATTCATTCTCCAAGGTTGATTGGTTTTACTAAAGACAATTGCTTTCATTTGTTGATTTATGATATATAAAGGTGATTTATGATAAATGCACCTGTTAGAAAGCCTCTTTGAAAAGGCAGAACATAAGAAATTGATCATTTGATATGAAACAATGCAATAACTGAGGAGTTAAAATACGGTCTCCTGAACATTATGCAAATAAATTGATTGCATTTTATTTTTTGTCATTTACTGATTTTGATAAGCTATATAAATAGCACAAAGATTTACAAGGTCCAGTACCACAAAAAGGCTGCAGATACATTACAGAGTCCACTAAGAGGAAATAAAGCAGACACCTCTCATATTTTTACCCTGACAGATACCTGACCAATAAACCAGTATTGGCAAGGGTCCTTTGGTGAAGATTGCTCTCAGTGTGGAAATGGTACTTTGAATTTAGAAACCCAGGAAACAGAGTTACCAATGGTGATGCTCTAAGCCCTCCAACAAAGACAAATGAGCTCCTGAAATTGTTGGTTTACTACTCCTTAGTATTTATTGTCTTGATTTATCACAAAACTGATTAGAAAAATAAAATTAACATTTTTCCCTTGTTTATATCTTGTTCTGGGCAAAATAGTGTGTGTGTCTGTGTGTGAAGTTCTCTCACCATCTCTCTTGGGAAGAATTTCTTCCATCACACTCGGAACTTTCCTGGAAGCTGAGCAGCCTCTGAGTGCCAGTTAAGGAGCTGGGGCTTAAACCATAACCAAAGTCATTATCTGCTAATAAAGGACAATAAAAATGACCTTAGATAATTTAATTAGCAAAGCATGACTTAGTACTAGTTGAGAAGACAGAAGTACTAGTACCAGAAGACAGCAATAGAGAGGCAGCAGTTCTGGTTACTTTTCCAGTTCTTCCAGAGAGCAGTAAATTCCCTTCTGCTGCTCTCAGTCAGCACAGGGATCAGCACAGTCAGCTGTCTATTTCCATCTGTGCCTGAAGAGGACATGCTGTCCAGGTGAGAGCCCAAACATGCAGAGCAAGCAGTGAAAGTCTGGTTTTACTCTGATTATCACTTGGCAGAGGTGCAGATACACCCAAATATTGGTTGAAGTTTGTTAACCCAGATATTGAAACTACAGAGCTGAATGCAAGGTAGGAATTGGCTCATTCCTGTTTTCCTTAACAGAATGCATCTCTCTAGGTGACCCAAGAGAAATACCTATCATCTCTCCTGCTTCCTCAAGGCCAGCTTTCTGTGCTTGAAAACTTCAAAATTATTCAGCCTGTCCTCGTTCTGATAATGACTACAGACATCACAGTGGTGAGGCTGTAATGGAAGTGGTGGTGAGAATAATATATTGCAGGAAGAGCAATCTTAGTTAAAATTATCCTGGCCTGCTTTGTTGGGGAAGTTCTTGGAACTTGAACTACCCAGTTATATTTCTTTTCCTTTATCCAGGTGTTTGAAATGTGACATTAAAAAGCCACTTGATCCTTTGCATGCTTTCTCACCACAGGTTTGTTTGGATGTCTGAAAATCCTTGATTTCATTTTGAGGGCATTTGGCTTTAATCCTAGAGGCAGGCTCTTCCTGGGGCTCTCTTTAAGGCCAGAGTTCATTAATAACCTGAAAATTCTTCCTGTACAGTGTTTACAACACAGCTTATCTGTTGATTCTCCTTTTAATAGGCAGATCTTGCTCCTTCACCATGTGCTGCAAAATATTTTGGGAATCCATTAGGAATTTCAAGACTTTATCAATAGCCAGTCAAGGCTTGAAACTTTCATTACAAAATGTTGACATTACTCATTGGATCACAGGCATATAGTAAAGCTGTATGGATGTTTCTTACATTATGATGCCATCTTTTTGGGCTAGACCAGTAAAAATAAAAATAAAAAAAAAAAAAATTAAAAAGTATTTTCAGTATGTTTCAGATTTTCCCTTAAAATCATATCAAGACTGTATTATGTGTCAATTCCTAAATTAATTATTTATTTCCTATTTTTTAACCAAAGCTTAAAATCCTCTTCAAAAGTGTCTTTTGAACCACCACTAAATTGTGGGGCATTTTGCCCTTTCTTTCAGAAACACTGAAACCAGTTTCAGGGACAACATGTCATCACACTTGCAAAACAAATCCTGGCACTTTCTCTTCCATTTCTTTAAATAAATGTTAATTGGCAGGACTTACATACAGCTCAGCTAAGCAATGACAATAACTTAATCAGTGTCTGCAGATAAGACAAAAGACAGATGTTTAGTTTGGTTGAGTTATTGATTTTATTTTCTCTGGATAATTTCAGATGGCATTACAAGGAACATTACAGTCTTATTTAAAGGAATCTAATTAGAGGACTGGTGAACAACATAGCCTTTTACTTTGCAGTGAATATCCTCAAAGAGGCACACAGCTCCACAGTAATTTTTTGGCTTGCATTGACTTTATGGGTTACAATAAATGGATCAGTCTATT